GGGGGGGGGGGGGGGGGGGGGGGGGGGGGGGGGGGGGGGGGTTAGTGAAGCATCACGGTACTAATGCTAGGTCTGAGCTGCTACAATCTCCACTCCCTGTCCAGAAGCAGAAGATGTCTGCTGGATTTTGTAGGCGGAGCACTCCGTTCTTTTCACAGGACAGGGCACCCTCGAATAATGGTAGGGGAAACACTGTTGCTGGTCCAGATGTGCAGTGCAGCTGTGACTCCAGCTGGCTCGCCTGGACTTTTGCTGCAGATGTGCAGTGCAGCTGATTTGCCTGAACGGTTGCTCCAGATGTGCAGCTGTCCTAGTGACTGACTCAGCACGCACACCGTTTCCAGTTTTTATTGTTCCTGTACATTTGTTTTTACAGTCTTACAACTTCTGCAGAATTTGTCGTTTCAGCCGTTCTTCTGGTAAAAAAAAACATTCGGCTCGTTCAGAAAGTGGCTGCTGTGACTTTTGGATTTTGTTATTTTTATACTTTTCAAATGATTTTAACTTTATTTACAACTATTTGCCCATTGAAAAACATTGGTTTGTCTTTAAAAAGTTATTCTCTTTGAAATGTGCTTTAGCATATTTTCCGTTTGTTTCAGCTTACGCGACTTTAGCTTTACGTGGCTACAGCAGCTCGGTGGTCAGGGCCGAGGTCTACCAGCCCTGAGGCTGCTGGTCCGACTCCAGGCATGTGTCGGGGAGAACATCTGGCTTAAAACAAATCACCAGAACTTTCATGAAAGGTCACTCGCTCCTGAAGGAGGAACAGCCAAAAACACAACACTACTACGAGGCTTTAGCTACCATTTCGCTACTTTTGGCTAGCCTTTAGCTTTTAGTTACCGTCCTGTTACTTTTAGTATTTAGCTAATCTTTTGCTACTCTCGTAGCATTTAGCTTCTTTTAGTGAAGCTAATGTGCTTCTTTGACAGCCCAGTTTCAGCAGTTGTTCAGAGCTCACACCGAGCTTGGACAGAAAACGCAGTAAACGGTCGTAGATGTTCACTTCCTGAGAAGTTTATAAAAACCTGTTGCAGACAACACACACACACACACACACACACACACACACAAGCTGAATCATTCCCGCCTTCAGCTCTGAGCAGCGGGCGATAATCACATTTAACAGACTCACTGCACAACAACACTCGTTTCCCCAACTGAGCAGGAAACGTGAACAAAGTGTGAAATTAAACCACTTTTACAAAACGTGGGCTCAGTCAGAACATCTGCACAGGACGGCAGCTTCGGGCTGAATTATGTCCACGTACCCCAGACCGCTGCTGTCCTTCCGACGAACGAACCCTCTGTCGTTAGGACCTTCGATGCCCCCTCTGCGACCCTGGTTCTCCTTGGCCTGATGCTCCACCACCTCCCCCTCATCCAGGGCGTGGTGGAGGCGGTAATTCACCGTTTTCAGCAGCAGAAACATGGCAGCTATCACACCACAGTAGATTCCCACAATCACCATGGTTGGAGGCAGGGCCTAACACGAGGAAACAAGAGGTCAGTTCACTTCATTCAAATCCGTTTCTACTGGTCCACTTCAGTTTACTGCTTGGTGGGGAAAATTTACTGGAACTCCTCAGACTGATGAAGCCCTCTGGATAGAGGGCGAAACATCTATAAAGAGAAACTATCCAGATGAGCTGAGAATTACTGGTACATCCATGAACTCTCAGAGTATCATTAAAATCTGTACATTGGTTCATGAGATATTTTGCTAACAGACAGAGTTGGCTCCAATAGTTGAGGATCAGTCGGTTGAAGCCATGTTTGTGTGTTTTGAGCCAGTGGCTGTGGCGGCCATCTTGAAAGGTGAACTGGGGTCAAACTTAAAGTTCTGCACTCCAACCCGTCCAGAGACCAGACTTAACTTTTAGATTTTTTTAACCTGGATTATTGAGCATCAGGATATTCTCCACTCTTTGGATTGAAACTTTGTGGAAAGAGCTGAGCAGGAACGCTGGTCCCATTAGACTTCCTGAACTGGGTTTTATGTTCTGGAGTACCAGCCTTTATTTATTTTGAAAGCCTCACTACAATACATGGTGTGAGCGTGCACAACTGAAGCGCGTGAGGCTGACTTTTCCAAGTGATGACCGCAGCGTTCAGAGATATTTTGCTGACAGACGTGAACACATCATCTCCTATTTAAAGTAGTTTCCATGAAATCACTGCAAACAGCTGCGTCACTTGAGAACCGCTGGTTCCGAGCTGTGTCAACACAACCCAACCTGCTGAGCAGTTTCACAGAACGGGCGCGCAGCTTCCACCAGTGCTGCTGCTGGAAACTGAGCACGGGATGTCGGTCCAGTAACTGGATCAAAATATTCTGACGTTTGGTTTAATGGAGGTCGCATCGTCTCCATGTAATAGACGGACCCGTCCGTGTGTGGCAGCTACGGTCCAGAGGACGGGCTCTGGGTGTTCGGACCCGTGAAAACCCAAAAGAAGACAAGATGGAGACACTGACCATGTAGAGCGTGAAGGGGAAACACAGCAGGAACAGCCAGATGTAAAGATGGAGCGCGTTGACGAACGTGTTCTGATCCGGGTCGTAGTACCATCCGCCCGTGACCGAAGCCCAGACCCCCTGCCTCAGGATCTGAAGAGTCTGCGACCCCATGGCGGCTCCTCCGGGCCGAACCGAACAGCCGGGCCGACACACGGACTGTTCGTGGTTCAGCACGAAGCCAGCGGGGGCTGCGTTTTCAGACGGCGGCCTGAAGCCCTCTCGGCAGCAGCCATCTTCTGTAGCTGGGGCTCCGGTCCTCCACCGGAGAGACTCCGTATCCCGACACGCCCTACGGGAAAGCTCTTCTTCGTGGGATCAGAGGCCGCAGCTCAGGAAGCGCTCTGTGGGAAGCGTTAACAAAATAAAAGTATAAAACCTCCTTTTTACTCTTAAGTTTAGGCTTTGTTATAAATATTTATTAGACTGCTGCTGGTGGACGTTTAAAATGAACAGTTCTGTGAGCTGAGCCGCAGGCGGGGAGCGGCTAAATGCTGAATTATTCTGTTCAACAGCTTGGGGTACATTTCCATTGTCCATGAATCCAATCAGTTACTTCAACTACAAGCATGTCATGAACATAAAAACCTGGATTTTCTGTTTTAAACTCAGACAAAACTGAGGTTTTCGTTTTTGGACCTGAGCATCTTATGCATTTCTTTCACCAACTCTGGATTAATTTGACCTCCAGTTCCAACATTAAAAACCTTGGTGTCATTTTTGATCAGGATCTCATTTTTATTTTCCATTCTTTATTTGTACAGGTCGTCTCATTGAGCCTCAAGGACTCATTTACAAGAGAGACCTGTTTTAAACAAATACAGATGAGAACAGTGGACAATCATACTGAATATATCCTTTATTTAAATTGAATTTGGATTTAAATTGAAAAATAAAATGGAAGAAAATGTAAAAAAAAAAAAAACAAGTGATATAAAATACTAAAAACTGGAACATTAAGAACATTACCAGAACCACCGCCTTCCACCTGCTGTGGAAGGCGGTGTGCTGATGTGCTGATGTTCAATGTTTTATGTTATGAGTGCTTAGTGTATATTTAGTTGATGTTTTTCTTAGTTCATATCTTAGATGTTATTACTGTTTTTCTTATACATTTTATTGTCGGCTGTAACTGGGACCCCGTGTACATAATTTCGCTCCACCACATGTACCACATGAGGTGCGAATGACAATAAAGAAACTCTGACTGACTCTGACTCTGAAATATCACAAAAATTAGAATCTTCTAAAAAAATAAAAAAAATTGTGCAGAAAAACCTGTTCATAATGTCGAGGCTGGACTATTGCAATGGTTTATCTAGTGTCCAAATACTTCTCTAAAGTGTCTTCAGTTGGTCCAAAATGCTGCTGCCGGAGTCTTAACTGGAGGAAGATCTTCCAGTTCTCAGGCTCCTCTCTTGTGGAACCAACTTCCAGTTTCTGTCCGTGAGGCTGACACATTGTCCAGTTTTAACACTTTCTTTTTGATACATCCTATGGTTAGGGTCGGCTTGTTGTGCTGCTATAGGCTTAGACAACTAGAGGATAAACTGACCTCATTTCCTTAAATAAATTGTTAAAATTTAATAGTTTTCATTTGATACTATTTCTATCTTAACGTGATTCTTGACCTGCCATTGTGTATCTGTTCCTCTCAAACCCAGCTGGTCGAAGCAGATGTCCTCTTGTCCTGAGCTGGTTCTGCTAAAGGTTCTTCCTCACGAGGGAGTTTCTTTCCACTGTCGCCTTCATGTTCAAGATGAGTTCTGTGATGGAGTTCAATTAAAGCTGCTCCTCAGATAAATAATGTTAATTATTTTTATATAAAAATGTTTGTTCAGTGACTGAGACGACTTCTGTTGTGACTCGGCGCTGTATAAATAAACTGAATTGATATCTGTCGGTCAATCACCCACCGCTGAAGGTGCAGGCAGAGCGTCCGTACTGTTAGCAAAATATCTTATGAATCACTGGAACTCCTAGAAACCAATTGAATCTACAGCTGATTAATCTTTTTTGGACTAAACATGCTCCTACATTTAGCTTTTAGCTGCAGTTCTGTGAAGTTTAGCTGATTTTGTTCTGCTTGTTTTACCCATTTCATAATTTATTCTAATTTTAAAAAACTTCAACAAATTCTAAGCGATCGCTCACAAAATTACATTTCTCTAGTAGTGTGAATGCTGTGAAGCATCACACTATTGTGATCCTGTTTATTATTCCACCTTCTCATTACTCAACTATTCTGTACGTTTCTCGGCATTAAACTCGTCTCAGATTTGAACTATTTCAGTAATTCAGGTATCAAAACTTTGAGCTCCTTCAGGAGACTTATGACTTTTGGTATTGGCATCTTTAAAACTTTTGAAATATTCAGCTTTTTCAGCAAAATAATTCTAATTCAAATGCATTAAGATTCTGTGAACTCCTTCAACATCTTCCTGCGTTTTCAACCGTCAATACTTCAGCAAACTGCAAGTCCGTTCAGCTTTTAAACAATTCATGACATTCAGCTATCACCAGATGATTCAGCTTTTTGAAGCGTTTTTGTAAAATCAGAGTTTAAGTTTGTTAAAGTTTTGGTGTTTCGCCTGTCCTGCACTGAAATTTTCATTTTACGCGTGTATAAAATTTACTTTTAATCTGAGAACTGTTTCTGAGGAGCCCGGTTCAGATAGCTACATTGTTTTTAGGATTATAAAGATTTTAAATTTATACCAATATTTATTTCATACAACCTCCTTAGTTACACACATGTGTAAAATACATTTACTCAACAAAAAAAGTGTTTAAGAGGAAATTTATCATAAAAAAAACATTCAGCTGCAACAAAAACGTACAAAGTACAAAAGGCTCCAAAAGAACCTTTAATTCACTGTTCAAATCCTGCAACAACCAGTAGCTCGTCCTCACGGTTGACCTGTACAAACTGGAAGATTTGGTGAAGCCGTTCACTTCACACCAGAGAAGCTGCCGTGTGGAAAACAGAAACATTCTCACAGACCAGTTCTTCCAGTAAGTACTGGATTGAGTCAACGTTTCCTGAACACCACACCAGTGGTCACTGCAGCCCGAGGAGGCGCAGCGGTCACTGCAGCCCGAGGAG